TCAGCATTCCATCACAGATGGAGGAGGGACTCATAAGGATGCACCTCCTCCTCCACAGGGGGCTATAGGAAGTCAGTGGTTGCTGGGAGAGGGGAGTCATATTCCTTGCTGGTGTAGCCACTAGAAAGTTGCCCTTGCTCAGGTAAATGACCCCTTCCACGTTCATGCAAACAGCCTTGTCTGATCACTGACTTGGGGGAGGAAAGGGTTTATTTCAACTTACAGTTCCATGCAACAATGCATTACTGGGGGAAGTCAGGGCAGGAACCTTGAGGCAGAAACTGAAGCAACAACAATGGAGGAATGGTATTCACTGGCTTGCTCCCTACAGCTTGCTCAACCTGCCTTCTTATAGCAAGCAGGACTACCAGCCCAGGGGAGGCACCACCCCCAGTGAGCTGGGTCCTCTTATCAATTATCAATCAAGAAAATGCACTGTAGGTTTGTTCACAGGCCAATCTGGGGGAAGCATTTTCTTAACTGAGGTTCCCTTTTCCCAAATAATTCTGGCTTGTGTCAAGTTGCCATAAAAACTAGTCGGTATAGTGGTACACAAGATTGTAATCTCAGCATTCTCGAGTTAAGGGCAGAGGTCAAGCTCATTCTGGGCTAACCTGGGCTACTTGAGACCTTGTCTTAAAAAGAAAAGAAGTTGAGCAGGGGTAGGGGACTAAAGAGATGACTCAGTAGTTTAAGAGAGTTTAGTATTTGAGGCTAATCTGATCTACAGAGTGAATTCCAGGATAGCCAGGGCTACAAAGAAACTGTCTTGAAAAACCAGAGACAGAGACAGAGACAGAGACACATACAGCGAGGGACAGAGAGAGAGCACAAGAGAGAACACGAGAGCTACTACTCTTGCAGAGGATCCAAGTTCCCAGTACCCACAGTAGGCAGCATATAACACTAGGGAAGTCAGTGCCCTATGACCTTCTCAGACACCTGCAAAAGAGTACTGCACTTAAACTCATGCTGGCACACATAATACACACAATGAATAAACAACACATAAGATAATCTTTTTAATGGGCACATTAAATAATGTTTATTAAGACATTAACTCAGTCCATTTTTTATGGAATTAATATTTCTCTTTCTCTGTTTCAGTTCTAGGGGTTTACAGGGGCCTACTACTGAGCTAGTGTCCCTGACCGTGGCTGGAAAGTAATAAATGCTATATGTTCTAAGCCAGGCAGTGGTGATGCAAGTCGTTAATCTCAGCACTTGGGAGGCAGAGGCAGGTGGATCTCTGTAAATTCGAGGCCAGCCTGGTCTTAGAGCGAGTTCCAGGATAGGCTCCAAAGCTACAGAGAAACCCTGTCTCAAAAAAAAATGTTGTGTGTTGTTTTTCCTGAAAGAAATAAAAATAAAGCAGGTCAGTCCCCAAGCCAAAGAGCCTCTCTGACTAATGGGAAAACACAAAACTAAATATGAATAATTGACTAGAGAGTTCTGTACCAAATGAGCTATTCATCTGCCCAGGCACATCTTTACCCTGCCCCTCAGTTAGTGGCTTAGATAGTGGCCCTCTCCTTCCACCATGGAAGCAAACTGTTCTGTCCCTCTGCCAACCTCAACCTCATCTCAGAGAGGTCTGAGAAGTGTCACAGGAGTTGTGTGGCCTCTACCTTTGCCATGAGTAGGGATGCTGACACTTGATTTGCAGTGTTGGAAGACATTTGGTCCTGCCCTGTGCAAACTCTACACCTTCCCTTAGCATTGGATATGGAGACTTCAGCTCCCCTGCCCCCACCAGCAGAGCATGGGTCCAGAAGTTGACGATGAGGAAAGTCTAGATCACCCAACAGAAGAGGAAGAGCCACAGAAATGTGAAGATGAAGGCACTGGAGAGAAAAAAAAAACAACAGAAAGAAGAAACAACAACCCTAAACTGGCCATTCTAGAGAAAACTGAAAAAGAGCCAGAGGCAAGATAATGTGGAGGAGTTTGCTTAGGGAAGCATCTGCCACAGAGACCCTCTGTGGGGTGTCAGGGTTCAAAGCTAAGAGGACAAGACTTTGCAGTGACCTCAAGAAAGAACAGCAGGAGGCTGGAGAGGTGGCTCAGAGGTTGAGAACACAGGCTGCTCTTCCAGAGGTCTTGAGTTCAATTCTCAGCAACCACATGGTGGCTCACAACCATCTGTAATGAGACCTCACACCTTCTTCTGGCCTGCAGGCATACATGCAGACAGAACATTATATACAAAATTAAAAAATATTTTAAAAACAGCAACACCCTCCCCAACTATTTCAAGTACTTGAGATTGACTGCTGAAAGCAAGGAGCCACTCTGCTCAGACCCCAGATGGTGGGCATTCTTCCAGATTCTTCTAGAGCCTTGAGGGTGCCTTGTACTGCTGGACTCTCAGATGCTCTAGCAAGAGTTCCCTTCCACCTGGCAGTGGTGGCACACACCTTTAACCCCAGCACTTGGGAGGCACAGGCAGGCAGATCTCTGTGAGTTCAAGGCCAGCCTGGTGAGTTCCAGGATAGCCAAGGCTACACATAGAAGCCTGGTCATGAAAAACCTAAATAAATAAATGAAAATTAAGTCCCCATAATCACAAGAAATTCCTGCCCCCTTTTCCTTAAGGCTGGGACTTACCTCCTGTCTAAAGTCCCCATTCAATTGGTTCAGGATACAAAGCCTTATCTAATGAATAATTTGGGGCTTGAGACTGCCCCTTCCTGACAGAGGACTGAGTCATGCTGCAGGCTGCCTGTACTTCTCCAACATTCAGAGTTCTGGAACCAGCTGCCAGCTAGAGGAGGAGAGGCTAAGTGCCATGTTTATCTGATGACCCTCAGATGAACCCTGAGCCCACCCCATACTGAAAATGGACTACAGCAATTCATCCTTTCTAGCAGGAAGGCAGTCACAATGAGTCTACTGTTAGTACTACAAGAAAAGGTTGGAAGAAGGCAAGGCAGGTTACATGGGAAAGATTGCATGGGAAAGTTGGGTTGCAAACGTGCAGTGTCTACAAAGAAACTTGGTAAGCCAGCTCAAATGAAATCTAGCTCTTTAAGAGCCCAGCCGGCACAGCCTGGTTACTGGTTAATCTACCTGGCTTAGCTCTTGATGCTTCCATCCATGATGATGTCACCATCGATCAGGTTACTCAGGTGGTATGAATTCGCCAACTGCGTAATGAAGAAAACGAAGTCTCCGGAAACCTGTTCAGGTGGCCCAGGAGTCAGAATGCAGTTCTCAGGAGCCGGAAAGCCTCTAATTAAATTCAGGCACTGTGAGAGGTCCATCTACAGTTTCAGTGTACCCCAATGCTGCCCCCTGTGCCAGGGGGACATGGGCTCCACCAGGATAGAGGACGCACCTATCAGCATCTCGGACCCGTTCTCCAATGGGCATCAAGAGAAATGCTCCTTCCTCCTCAAGCCTACGAGAGGGACGTTCCTTAGGTACAGTGGCTTGAGTTATAATGAACCATGCATGTGTTTCCTGCTGCTCGCCAGTCCTTAAACCTTCTTTGAAGGACATGTGGTGTGCTGTGCAGCGTGTGTGGGGTTGCTTTGGGTAGATTGTTGTCTTTATGTCTTTGTACATCAGAGTGTGGCTTGCCTGCCTTGGAACGGTCCTGGGTTTTGTGTACACATTTGTGTAGTATGTGAAAGACTGTGCATAGTGTATGAAGATACCTGCCAATGTTAGGAGAATGTGTGCTGGGTGGCTGACAGGGGATAACCTGGCAGTGGGTGCTATTGGAGGAACACTGTAATCTTCAGCTCAGACTACTGTGTCAAGCAGGTGCACGGTGCAGAGCAAAGCACAATCCAAGAGAGAAAGTGCTTGATGGAGGTGAATGAAATTAACAATGAAGTCTAAGGGGCCCTCCCCTTTTCTTTTTATTTCCTCTTCCTTTTACAGTGCTAGAGGTGGAGCCCAAACCTCATACAGGCTGTGTGCAGGGTCAGTGCTCAGTGCTAAGCTGCGCTTCTTCCTGTACCCTTTACTTTAACCTCAAGCCAGGCTCTTGCTGTGTGACACAGACTGGTCTGGAGCTTGCAGTGTTGACCAGTGTGCTCTTGAGCATGGGATCCTCCTGCCTCAGCCTCTTGAGTGCTAAGATCGGACTTGAGTCAATGCACGTGACTTTTCCAGGCATTAAAACATGCAGATTAGCCGGGCGTTGGTGATGCATGCCTTTAATCCCAGCTCTCGGGAGGCAGAGGCAGGAG